AAAAAAAAAAAGGTCAACAGGTGTAGCAGTCCAACCGACTCGTGGACTGTCCGGACGGTAGCACTGTCATTTAGACGCCTATGCACTGATCGAAAATAAACATACATGCATACACTGTAATTTACTATGTGGAGAACACTCATTTTATCTGTAAAGTTGATTGCAACGAATTGTGCAACAAATGAACTTGCCAAGACAGACTATAAAAAATTAATTTTCTATGTAATATTCTTAATTGCAAAGAAGCCAAATCTGGCAATGTTGCTCAGAACTGACTAAAGCGCCACTTGTAATCGTCCAATGCGCCAAGTTTGGCTCATGCGCCACGGTTTGGCCACCCCTGGTTTAAATATATAGTACTAAAACACTTTACAGAACCTTCTTAAATAAAAACTCCAGTAAGTTATTACCCATAGAAAGACTAACATTTTTTATTCTCCCTCTGATCTTCCTCAGGTCAACAGTTTAGAAAATGCATTAGAAAAGCAGAACATTTTAAAAAACAACGATTGCAGATATTCAAAAAAGTGATATAATTCTAAAACTATTGACCTGAGGAAGATCCAGAGGGAGGATTGAAACATTAGTCTTTCTATCGGTGATGACTTACTGGAGTTTTTATTTAAGAAGGTTCTGTAAAATGTTTTATTACTATATGCTGAATTCTGACATTAACAGTCTGAAAAGGTACAAAATCCCAAATTGAAAATATCCTGACATGATGATAATTCACAAACTACTAATAAAATGATGTTTCTGTGATCAAAATTTTGGCTAAGACAAATGTATTCAGTACATTATCTGAATATGATTAAATTATTTGACACTGTAGATGCATTGCTCTTCATTTACATGTTTCTAAAGTAATTTTATAATATAGTAATTATATTATAAATCGGGTGAGCAAGCAAGAGTTCAGTGGGAGCCGAAATGTAGGTTTTTCAAAATGCATGGGAGCTACAGTTCTGTACTTTTTTATTCTGTACCACAGTTCTGTACTGCAATTTTATTATATAATATAAATATAATATAAAACAAATATTGAATTTTTTTAATAAACATAATTTCACAAAATTGTGGAAATAAAATTGTAAAAATGATAATAAAAAGCAGAAATTAACACTTTCGGCAAGAACTGCATGTAACTCAAAAAGAGCTACATACAGCTCTCGGAGTTGCATTTGCCCATGTCTGTTATATATTATTGAAAAATATGATGCTCAGTTTTTAGTAGAGTTGTTACTAATTATTTTTGTATTTATAACTTTATAACACTATAACTTAATTTTAATGAAAAATAACATCTTGCATACTTTTCTTAATAAGAATTAGCATTTATCACATCAAAATTTTTCACTACTGGAATATTTTATTATTTGAAAATTATTTTATTTAGTACAGTAGAAGTTCCATAATTTCACATTTTGTGTATTTACAGTTCAATATTTGCAAAGCTAAAATTCATTTATTCAAGGAAGTATTGACAATTTTATGTTTATTAGAAGAGTTTTAATGCCGAAAGGTCATCATATACTGTGTTGCATAAGAATTAACAAAAATAACAAACTCAGTTAAGAAAGAATGATGTTTAATCTGTTTAGTATTAATATAAACATATTATACTACAGTTTGTCTTCTTATTGTCTGTTAACTATACTAATGAATTTTATCTCATAATTTCTTGGATTATTTTACTATGTGCACTTAAGTTAATAGTAAGCATTATGTTTTACAATAAGTAAAGAGAATGTCAGTGTTATAATATCAAAAGGTCATTCTTCTATCCTTACAAATCAATAATGTCATCTAAACAAAACAGAGAAATGGTAAATTATCCAAAAGATCAAAGAATGTGGTGTCCTTCAAAAACAAATTTAATGTATTAGATTATATACAGGAAAGAAATTTAACAGCTATTGTTTCTTACACTTTCATTGTAAATGAGTCTATTATCAGATACATTAAAAGAAAAAAGAATGAGATTAGAAATATGGCAGAAAAATTTCTTTATATAAAAACACTTTTTTCAATTTTTTATTTATTAATTATATACTTTTTCAAAATATTCTTTCTTCTTGTATTCACAGTAATTCATGGCAATTTTATAGAACGTAACCTTCATGAATAAGGAGCTTCTGCTATATTATATTCATCTGTCAGAATATTAGGCTTGTTGGGATTTCAGCACATCAAGTTATCAAAGTTGAATTTAGCATATTGCTGTTTTACTTTTTAGGATGCTGAAAATTCATGAAACAATCTCCAAAAATATTTTAGATTAATAAATAAATTGTAATTTTGATAACATTATTTTAGAAATTTAAATATATTAACTTCTTATTTTGTTTTTATTACTAGAATATTTTCCTTAAAATAAGATAGTAAAGTAACATTAATGTTGTGCTCAAGAATAATTAGATGATCATCCTAAGTTTTCTATGATGCTTTATAAATGTTGTCATAAATAACAACATTTATAAAATCTTGTCCATTTATTATTCTATGTAGGTGCTTTCAAAAGCATGAACTGCATCCCCCAGAAAATCCTGTTGTTTGTCATCAATCAGAAGGTAGAAATACACAATTTGTAATTAAATGCTGCAATGGTTATGACTACTGTAATCGTGATCTTTTTCCAACATTAGCACCCCCTACTACCACCTCAGGTAAGAAAAGCTATGTATTGAATCAGATGTATTGAACTTAGTTTCTTTTTCATTAATTCAGGTGTTTACATAAAGAGAAGCACTTTCCTCCAGACAAACCACATATGTGTCACAAACCCAAGCCTGGAATCATAAAAGTCACAATCTGCTGTAATGAATATGATTTTTGTAACAAGGACCTTCATCCCACACTCCCTCCTGACCATAGATTTTCAGGTGGGTTATGTGAGCTACAATGAAAACAAACAGGAAATAGCTTTGGAATAAATTCAATATGTTTGTGCAAGCTTGCTGTGTTGTTAATTTGAAATTGCTTTGCAAATAAATTTTCTCTGTACACAATTTTTTCATATGCTTTGTGATGTTTTTGCATTGTTATTGCATGACTGCATGCTATAGAGATTTTATTGCATGAATATAATTTTATGTTAATAATTGTTTAGGTGTCACTTGATGTATGTTTTATAAAACATTTTAAAAAATGTGCTTTAAAAATAATTTTAAAAATACGTATCAGTGTGAATGAAGCTGTTGTTAAATATATGATGTCTGAATATGAATAATATTGTCATTTCCATATAAAAATATTAAAAATTATTCAAAGAATAAATTTACAGAAATTCATTTTTTATGTATTATAATTTAGTATTTAACATAAATAAAACAAATTATTTAAAGATGTAGAGATGTTAAATTTAAATCTCCTATTTAGAAATACATTAAATATATTTATTTTAGTAATTTTAAACATTGTTTTTTGCTTGGAATATATGAACTATGGAACATTTGTTGAAGAAGGTAATGTTCAGTGAACTGCATCATACAAATTTTAGATAGATAAATTTCACACACAGTAATGTTCATTTTTATAATAAAACAAGCTGTTATTTATTGTGATGACATTACAATTCAGGGCTGCACTTTCTGTCATAATGCTATCAATTCTATCAATAGTAGTATCTTACCCCTGTACATCATACTTTTCCTGTTGACAAGAGAATCATGCCAGTCATCTCTGTTCTGGAGAAAAATTTTTTAATTGAAATAATGTAATTTTCAGTCCAAACCAGAAGTTCATACATAATTAATTGGGATCTCTAGCTCCTAAACTTTCCATATCTGGTCTGAACTTTCCTCTATCTTAACTCCATTTTTAGAGCTTAAGGAAGGACAGGCAGGAATTTATAGGTCTGCAAGTCTAATCACTTTTATTACAATATTTAAGAAACATTTTTTATTAGATAAATTAATCCAAAATGATTTCGACTAAATAGGAGTGTTCAAATGCAAAAATTAAGAATCATTCTATTCTAAATGTTTTCATTCCCAAGAACTTGTGCTAGATATTCAAATACTAAGAGTTCTCAGATCACACACAGTAAAGAAATAAATTAGAGAACTAAACTACTGTTTCACTCTGGTGTTGGAAATTCTAATTATATTACAGTAATACAGAGATCATATTATTTTATGATCCGATCTTTCAAGGAATTTAATTTTCTAATGAATCATTAATTTCAATCTCTATAATTATTAATAATGTTAATCAATTTGTTCTTGAATTCTCAGTAATAGTCAGTTACCTAAACTACTACACATCCATACAAAGAAAATTGGCAGCATTCATTACTTTATCCTCATTGTTTTCAATAAATTACATTCATTTCTTGTTCCTGAACTCTGTTCTAAGAAACTCATTAAAATCTTACAACTTTTTGATTCTACTCTTGGTTAATTCTGACAAATACCTTGTGTTTGTATATTCATTGTCATGGGACATTTATTTTTCTGAAATTATTCAAACTCATTCTCAGAATACAGTTTGTCATATTCAGAAGTGATTATCATAACACCAGGAAATGATTTTATTCATTTGTCTGCAACAAGTTGATTCTTAATTTTTTGTTTTATTCAGGTTAAATTACATCCTTCATATCCAAAACTCTTTTCAACTTCCCCATTAGACAGGTTTCTGGCATATAGTAAAATTTAATAGAAAATTGCTCTGTTGCAAAGTTTTGTATTTAGGCAAGTTTGTTTTATTCAGGTTCCATTTTAGACAGGTTTTACTGTATATCTTTTTTTAAAAAATACTGATAAAAGAAATTGTTACAAATTAAAATAATTTATTTTAAAAAAGTAGCCCAAAGATAATTATCCTGAGAACTTAAATATTGTGTGCATGATGAACTTCACATAAATTCATTACTCTGTAAGAAATTTATGTGATGTATTAATGTTTTCTGTATTTCTACTGCTTCAAATCTTCAAATTTTGACTGAATGTTTTTAATAAATTACAAGGGGGAAAAAATTTGTCAGTTTGAGATTTTACATTTACTATTACTATTGTTTCATTTGGTCTTGAAGTAGCATCAAAACAAAGAATTTATTTTAGACCTCTGAAATAAATTCTTTAAATCTGCAAATGAAGAAATAAATTTAAATAAAAATTTATTATGAATTTTTATTAAATTAGCTGATTTAATCTTTAACTGTTTAACCTTTGCAGAAATTAAGAGGTTTGATATGTTTTTTAGAACATCGATTTTAAAATAGAAAATTACAAATTTTTATTTTATCACCATTTAGTCATTATTTTATATTGAAAATTCATTTTCTCTGTAAAATAATGATTATTTATTATTTTTTTTTTTTTTAAATAAAATTTATATTGATTATTACATTAAATTTTTTTTTTATAAATCCTGAATAAAGAATGTTAATCATCTAATCATGAAATAAAATGCAACTGTATATTAGGTTCAGAATAATTTTTATAGATTTTATATTGGAAATGCCAACTTCATTTGAATTGATACTTCTAATAAATAACATGTTTTTGCTATTTTAAGATTTTTAATTTTTTTTTTTTTTTTAATTTGAAAACAAAAAGTTATGGTAAGTTTTCAATTATTGTAAATGAATGGTCAACTATAAATATATATATATATATACTTAAATATTTAAGTTTTAATTTGAATTTACTTTATTCATCTGTTTATATAGTTTAAAGATTATTGTTATCTTCTCAGCATGTTTCATTAAATGTGACACTAGTTTTAAATATTAATTTAAATTTTGCATGTTATTGTTGTAAAAAGTTATTGTGTAATAGTTTATAATTACTCTAGTTTTGTACACAACTTTAAAATGCTTGATTTTAGATATCTATAGATGACTTTAAGCATGTACTTGTATTTGGTGATGGATTGCATAACTTATTTATGTTTATTTTCTAATGCATCTCATATCTTTTCTTATAGCATGCAAGTTTTATGGTAGATAGTTATCTAAAGTTTGCTATGGGCATTTATCTGAAGATTGCTAAATCTTAATTATGTACCTTTCAGAAGCTATAACTATAAATATCTTTAAAAGTAGACAGGTGTTTGAATTGCATATGATTGCTCTTAAAATTGCCTGTTCTATTTTTGTTATTTTAAACACAGCAAGCTGGCAAAATCTAAAAGAAAAAACAATCACTTAATGAATCAGAGAACTAGTATCATTGAGGAGGAGGATGATGATGATAACTTCTTAATTTTCACTCAGATGAGCTGAATCAAGTATTTGATGACAAAATTAATTCAGTTTCCTTTAAAGAAGTTTGATGCAATTTCCAATCTCCAGATTCCTTTTATATCATATGAAACCCACAAATAAGTTAAACAGAAGAAAAATGAAAGGAATAGAAAAGCCATAACTTAACATCAAGTAATACAAAACCAAAATATATTGACATCTTATCACAAATAAAATATTTTGTTATATTTATTAATTTATTTTAATGAATAAATTAGTAAGTACAAGTATATTAATAAAATTGTTTTTTAAGATTCATGATTAATATAATTTATTATAATGTTTTATTTTAAAATAAATAATATATTACCTTATTTTCTATTTAATATTGCAGAAAAAAATTACATTAATAATTTTAATATTTTATGTATTAAAATTATATATACCTATATTATATATATACATATTGAGAAGTGATGGAAAAGTATACTTTTAAGTTTGAAATGGTTTGAAGATAGGTGTGATAATAGATTCAAAATTTTAATCATTTGCGGAATTAACTAATAAGTATACATTGGTGCCTCGTACTTTGAATTTAATTTGTTTCAGGAGGTCATTTGAACTCTGAATCAGTTTTCCCCATTAGAAATAATGGAAAGTAAATTCCTAGACCCTAAACAACATCCTTTTTGATAAATGTAAACAGCAAATACACATAATTCAAGGTAAAAATAACATAATTAAACATCAAAACAATAAATAAAATACATACTGTATAATAGAATGAAAATTGCATTTACCATATTTTTGTGGAATGACTGGCATGCCAGTCTGTCTGGGGAAACCATGAAATCAGATATTTCTGTATGATAAAAACCAACATTCTGGTTTAAGTGAGGTTATATATTCCTCTCTAGAGGGCATGTTAAAAAAGTGAATGAGTTATGTCACAAAAACAAGCATAGAATGAAAATTGCATTTACCATATTCTAATTGTATTCTAATTGTGAAACTGTTAACATTACATTAAAAATTACAATTATATGTTTAATTTCTTCATTTTGTCTTCTTTCTAACAAGGTAAAATACTCCTGGAATTCCAAAAGTGCTTTTTTTGTGTGTATTTTATTGTTATTTGATTCAAAAACATAAAAATAAACAGTAAATAACTACTCACCACACCAAATTAATGATAATGATGCACTTGGAACTAAATTACAGTGTGATAAAAAAACATCAAAAAACAAATGTTTTCAATGTTTTTTTTATAACACTGTAATTTGGTTCTGAACACCTGACGCAGAGCCCAGAAGGGGTTTGAAAAAGTTCTTTTTTTTTTTTTTTTTGTTTTTTATCACACTGTAATTTGGTTCTGATTGTGTCATTATAAAAATAAACATGTTAAATTTAAGAAACTTGCTGTAAATTATCTCAGCTTGCATGGATTAACAAGGACTTTCTGTGAAATTTAAGAGAAAGGTGTTATTTTTAAGACATTATAGCTCTCACTGAATTACTACTACTACTACAGTCAATAAGTTGTTAATTGTTTTATTGTCTTGTAAACAAAAACTCTCTTCCAGATTTTAAGTCAGTCAAATTACAATGTTGTTATGTTATTGTACTGGGAAGAATATTTTTTTTAATGTTTAACAGCTAGTTTTGTTAGCTTGATTAATTTTATATTTTAGT